GTGGCAGAAAAGGGTGACCCGTAGACAGGAAGTTGCAGTATATATAGGATGCAGTAGCGATGCTACCGCATACCTACAGCAATTAACCGCGCTCCCCTTCATGAACGATTGCTGCCCGTTGGTGCGCTAATGGCTTGATGGCTGGCATGCAAGTTGTTAATTGCTGAAATCTCATCACCCGCGTCGGATGCTGGCGTGATGTTTGCTCGGCCATCTGGATCGCCGGCTTGTTGAAAATTGTAATGTTCGCACGAACTAACGAGTTATATCTCAAGAGCCCCTAGCCTTAAATGCAGCAAGTAAATCGGAGCAGTGAATAAGATAGAGATTTTTGAACGTTAAGAAAACTGACAACAGGATACCACAGAAGAGCACGTAAGCAAGGCGGGTTGTGCAGGTGTGTCCTTTTTCGTCACATTCAAACAAGCAATGCGATCAAAGAAAATGGGACTAAATTGTCAAAGGTAAATTAGTCAGGTACCTCACCACAGTATACCCCTTCTAGACCGGAGGGCGACGGGATACGGCGCCGGATGATATGCACAAGTCTAGAAAAAATGCCTAACTAAACGATCGGGAAAATGAACGTGACGGCCACTGCGAGTTATGTATGTAGGAGGTAGAGTCGAATAGGGTTGACTGCGTGCTGTGGTGGACGATGGTGTTGCAGTTGGATGCTGTTGACACGTCGTTGTTCAGCCGTCATAGCACCAAGATGAATCCCGTCTGAGAACTGAAACGCCGAAAGGGAAGGTCTGGACAGCATGTCGGCCACCGCATTCTTCGGGCCATCAATGTGGCGGATATCGGTGGTGAATCGCGAGATGTAATCCAAATGAGAAATCCCTCCGGGTTATATTTGTCAGAATGGGATCGGATGGCAAATGTAAGTGGGTTGTGGTCCGTGAAAATTGTGAAGTCACGACCCTCAAGGAAGTGTCGGAAATGTTTTACGTCTAGGTAAATGGCAAGAAGTTCACGGCCAAACGTGCTATATCTCGTCTCGGCAGGTGAAAGCTTCTTGGAGAAGAATGCCGACGGTCGTGTCGAGTTGTTGATATGCTGTTGGAGGACTGCTCCTACGGCAACGGTTGAATCATCAACCATCAGGGACAATGGGGCTTCTGGAGCAGGATGAGTGAGCAAGGTAGCATCAGCAAGGGCGGTCTTTAGTCTCTCAAATGCAGTCAGCGCGTGGCCACGTAACTCAAGGGGACCCTTGGGACCAGAGAGCAAGTTGGTGAGTTGCAGCATAAGGTCGGCACAATTCGGTAGGAACCGGCGATAAAAGTTTACCATGCCAAGGAAACGTTGCAACTGACGCTTGGAGGTTGGGGGAGGAAAGTCACGAATGGCCTCAACCGTGGAAGAGAGGGGACGCAAACCTTGTGCATCGACATGGTGACCAAGAAAATCAAGGGACGGCACACCCAGAACACACTTTGAAGGGTTAATGACCACGCCAAACTGATCGAGGCGGTCAAACATTAAAGCGAGATGCTCTTTGTGTTCCTCGGCATTTCGACTGGCCATCAAGAGGTCATCGATGTAGGCGTACACAAACGGGAGACCACGTAGGACTCGGTCAATGAACCTCTGAAATGTTTGGGCAGCATTGCGAAAACCAAATGGCATGCGAACAAATTCGAACAGGCCGAATGGTGTGGTGACGGCAGTTTTGGGAACATTCTCAGGAGCGACAGGAATCTGATGGAAGGCACGAACAAGGTCAATCTTTGAGAAAACCGATTTGCGAAAAGAGTTTCAGCAAAATCTTGAAGATGAGGGACGGGATAACGATCCGGGATGGTCGCATTGTTGAGGGCGCGATAGTCACCACAGGGCCGCCAGTCGTCTGATGTCGCCTTGGGCACCATATGCAGAGGGGACGCCCATGGACTCTCGGACGGGCGAATTCTGCCCAGTTGCAGCATGTGCTCAAATTCGGCCTTCGCCGCTTGCAGACGGGACGGAGCCAGTCGTCTAGGCCGTGCGAATACTGGGGGGTCAGAGGTGCGAATGTGGTGGACAACGTCATGCTGAATCTCACCACAGCGAAATTGGGGTTTGATTATGTTGGGGTGTTGGAGGAGCAGGTCTCGATATGGGCAAGCAATGCCTGTGTTCAGAAAAGATAAATTGCAGGAGTCATTAAAGGGTGTAAGACCGCGGACAGAAAGACCAGTTGTGCGGTCGAGGAGACAGAAACGCCGACAGTCAACAAAGAGATCAAACTCGGCTAGGAAGTCGGAACCAAGGATCACATGAGGCACATCGGCAATCACAAATATCCAGGAGAATGATTGACGTAAACCAATGTTTAGCGTTAGAGAACGACTACCAAAAGTGGAAATGGGGGAACAGTTTGCAGCTTGGAGATGTAGACCAGGGCTGGGACAGCGGCGGTCAACTGGAGTGGGGGAACCACGCTGATCTGGCCTCCGGTGTCCACCAGGAAGCGCCTGGAGTCACACTGTCGCAGACATAAAAGGTGCGACCAGAGCTGGGAGAGCCAGAGAAAACGGTCGCGTCTATTCTCTGGCTGGTTGGTTTCCCTGTTTCGGTTTAAATGAACAAGGGGAAGAACATTTGCGAGCCTTGGCGGCAACGTTTGCGTGATACCAACACAAATTGGCTGTGCAAGGTCGCGAACGTGAACGATGACTGCTGGGTTAGCGACTTCAGGTAATGCGTGCAAGCTGTAGTTTTAAGGAAGCTATCTCATTCGCCATAGCCGACATCTGTTGCAGTAACTGCTCGTTAACCGTTGAAGCGGATGTGGAAATCTGAGCAACTGAAGGAGGCTGGAACCCTTGAACCTCTATCATTCGGTCTGCCATTTCAGTAAGATGTGAAAGTGTAAGGTCTTGCGAGTCGGATGCCTAAATCGTTTTGACATCTGCAGGCAGCCGCTCTAGAAACATCTCGTTAACGAGTTTATCGTCGACCTGCATGTCTCCTAAGAGAGTACGCATTCGTCGGAGAAGTTCCGAGGGCTTTCGGTCGCCCAGGGATTCCTCCTTGATCAACTGGTGGTAGCGTTGTCGGTCAGATACAGCATTGAGACGAAGGATTTCCGCCTTCAGAGCAGAATACGGAGCGTCTGCAGGGGGTTTCACTAACAAGGGTTGAACTTGTGAGATAATATTGGCGTGGGAAACCTCCACAAGTTTGTGGTATTTCGACAACTCCTTCGTAATGTTGGCGGAGTAAAAGGTTGACTGAATGCGAATAAAATAAAGTTCGGAGGCGTGTTGCCGGAAATCAGGCAAAGTGAAATGGACGGCATGAACAGACTCGGCAGGAACGCCAGGTTGTTGAGTTGAGGAAGACATATAAGCAAAATATAGGTAGCACAATATCATGAAAAGGTTAGCGGGAAATGTAAATGAACTAAAATTTAGCAAATAAATACAGGACGTTAAATGTCATTAAATGTTACAGATGGAAAGAACTTAAGTCTGCGCTAACGTCGGGAGTCACCAGTGTTGAAAATTGTAATGTTCTCACGAACTAACGAGTTATATCTCACGAGCCCCTAGACTTAAATGCAGCAAGTAAATCGGAGCAGTGAATAATATAGAGATTTTTGAACGTTAAGAAAACTGACAACAGGATACCACAGAAGAGCACGTAAGCAAGGCGGGTTGTGCAGGTGTGTCCTTTTTCGTCACATTCAAACAAGCAATGCGATCAAAGAAAATGGGACTAAATTGTCAAAGGTAAATTAGTCAGGTACCTCACCACAGTATACCCCTTCTAGACCGGAGGGCGACGGGATACGGCGCCGGATGATATGCACAAGTCTAGAAAAAATGCCTAACTAAACGATCGGGAAAATGAACGTGACGGCCACTGCGAGTTATGTATGTAGGAGGTAGAGTCGAATAGGGTTGACTGCGTGCTGTGGTGGACGATGGTGTTGCAGTTGGATGCTGTTGACATGTAGGGAGAGGAAGTATGCGGGACGAAGGGGTGGAGGGCAAGGGAGGGGAAGGGCAAGGCAGTGGGCAGGGTGAATGAGCAGGGGATAGGGAAGATGGAGGAGCAGGAGTTACGGGGTCAGCACATTTTTGTCCTTGGGACCGGTCCGGCGGCTCCTCTGCAGCAGCAGCCTTTACCCGATCGACATTGACCACGTCCTCCTTGTCACTGCGAAGGATACGGAAGGTCTTGGTGTTGCGCGCGAGCACGCGGAACGGTCTTTCGTATGGTGATTCCAGCGGCTGACGCACGCGGTCACACCGAACAAACACATGAATACACTTGTCCATGTCTTTTTCGACATAAGACTCACTCATTGGAGCTCGAGGTGGAGCCGGGGAAAGCGAGCGCATAAATTGCCGCAAACGGTGCACAAGATTGTCAGGAGTCTCGTCGGCTCCACGAGAGGTTGGGGTGATCATATCGCCTGGCAGTCGCTGGGTAGTGCCGAAAACCAATTCAGTTGCGCTACAGCCCAGATCGGACTTCAGAGCTGCGCGATGCCGAGGAGTGCAAGAGGAAGGTTGTCCGACCAGTTTCCTGGGTCTTCTACGGCACGCAGGGCGGTCTTGAGCTGGCGATGGAAACTTTCCACCATACCGTTGGCAGCGGGGTGGTAGGCTGTCGTCCGAATGTGTGTGCAGCCAAGGAAATTGAGTAGCGATTGGAAGAGTGCCGACTTAAACTGGTCACCATGATCAGTCGTAACCGTGGATGGGGCACCGAATATGGCGACCCAACGACTGACAAAGGCCTTCACGATGGTTTCAGCCTGAACATTCGGCAAAGGAATTGCTTCAGCCCAGCGGGTATATCGATCGACACAGTCAGGTACCTCACCACAGGTATGCGCGCTCCCCGAGTGGTCGATTACTTTCACCAGCCTATGCCTCAACACGAAATATGGTGTGGGGATGTCGTTGCACTTGTTGATAGACTGAGGTCCTTTGAAGCATGACTCAGGCAACTCGCGGCTCACGCGATTATCCCCTCTCGCGAGAATTTCGACGTCCCCGAACTTGAATGTGTGGCCGGGTCTCATCGAATGGACCGCGACCTGAGAGCTGACGTCATTTCTCCGTACAGCTGCCACGTGTTCGGCGATTCGCTCCCGGAGCAGTCTTCCGGTTTCTCTGCGTAGTTACTTTGTCCACAACTGCACCAGATCCGGTAAACGACTACAGATGTTTCTTGCCGTGGCAGTGGATCTTTTGGTCTCATCGCCTGACGCCTCATGGTGGCCTCCACTCTGTGTGCAATTCCAAACTCAAGTGGTGCGAGAAGGCGGCCGACAGCTTCCGAAACCTTCTTGGCATACGGAAACGTACGCCAAGATTTGGTGTCCATGCGGTTAGGCCTTTTTGCACCGGTTGACAAGGTTGCGCGGGTAACCATTGGCTTTGAATACCCGTCTTTGTTCTTTAGTCCACCAAAATCCAGGAAGGCCAGCTGGTTGTCCTCCTCCTCCTCTTCCATCGTTAATTGAATGTACGGGAAGACGGTGCTGAGATATTTTTTGAATGTCAACACCTGATCTCGTTCGATGACGACGAAGGTATCGTCCACACACCGAGCCCAGAATTTCGGTCTGGGGTGTTTGAAGACCAGCGACTCTATCCGCTCTAGGACCGCCTCGACGATGTATCCCGAAATCGGCGAGCCCATCGGTGTTCCCTTCACTTGCTCGTAGATTGTTCCGTCAAAAGTGAAATACGCCCTGAGACAGAACTTAAGAGTTAAAGGACTTGGGCATGTCCGAGACGATTCTCCATTTCATTGTATTTGCTTCGTAGGAGTAGCTTGACGGTGTTGATTGCCAGAGCCTGGGGGATAGAAGTAAAGAGGGACGTGACATCAAAAGATACCATGACCTCAGTTGGCAAGAGACTTACTCCTTAAAGCTTCTCCAGGAATTGTGCTGACGAACAGGCGGTGGTGTCCGAATCAGTGGTCAGAAATTTGAGGCTCCGAAACAACCATTTTGCCAGTCCAAACTTTGTAGTGCCTTTGAGCGATACAGTGGGCCGGAGAAGAGCGCCCTCCCTGTGCACCTTTGGGAGACCATAGAATCGGGCTAAGGCCGTTTCTTGGGTACTCGTCATACGTCGGTCGGTCGGCGTTATTGTACCCGAGTTCTCCAGTGCCAACAGTGTCGCATTAGTTTCGCGTGTCAGCGTTTTTACGGGGTTGGTTTCACATGGGACATAAAACTGGCGATCCTCCAGTAGGTTTTTGGCCTTCAGAGAGTAGTTTGTCCTGTCCGGTACGACGGTGGAACGCCCCTTGTCCGCGGGCACGACGATGATGTCTTTTTCGGCCTTGAGTCTCTTAGTGCATCGTGTTCGACCTTTCTGCCACTGTCTCTGATGATGGATTCAAGTAAGAATCCGGAATGTCAGGAGAATAAAGCCCGTGCTCCAGCGATCGCTTTGACTAGTTCCTGGAACTTGCATCTTTGCCTGTATCGGAAACAGCTTGAGTTGATCTGTGCGTAATGAAACATGAGGTAACCCGTTGTCAGGAAGAGAGTTTCTTAACGTCTGTTGGTTTATTTCACACAAGCGTTGATTCCAGGAGTGCAATTAAGTCTAACCAAACGTGTATTTGCAGTTTCAAAACATACTTCGTGCCGTTGCTATCGTAGATGCCGATATGTTGTCCGTTGATCATTACTTTCTAAGACAGTTAAAAAGGCAGGCCTAATATCTTATTCAATATCTTTGCTCGTTCCCAGGAGATATCAATGGACAATGAAGGCCGAAAACGCGTGGCAGGCAGAAGAAACTGAACGCGTTAATTTCACCGGATGCATCCAGTCTCGCATATTACGATGGATGAGGGTTGATTAAACCAAACACAATCATAGTCCAAACCCTGTTCTAGCCGGAGGGCCCTGTATATAAAATAAGGGAAAATTGCACAGACTACCCATTAGATTAAAGTAACGAAAAATCCCTTTGAGAACCCATCTGTATCAATGCTGACGCCGCGATTACTTAAAGGTAAATCCGGTTTGACTTGTTTTATAGCTCAAAGCGTTATTTCACTATTCATTCTATATTTACTGAAGACATATCTGGTATATTCAAACGCATTTTAATCAAGTCTATTCCGCATTGTTAGGCCTGACCAAAATTGATTCATTGTTTCACGTACAAAGAGACGTGATCGGATTGGAATGTCTATATTAATTACTTACGGTCATTGCGCAAAATAAAGGACTTTGAGACCGAAAACTCACTGTGCATATTACTCACCATAAGGCTTCATGTTTTATGGACACTGAGACTGATATCAGTAATCGGACACACTGTCAAAGACAATATGGGATTAAATGGTTTCCTTTATAGCAAGGATGTAGTCGTCAGACTTACTATCGTAACCAACATCAAAGTTCAAAATTTCCGATGCTCATTTAAAGCCCTTTGACTATCGTGAGACATCGTCGCCTAGAATGATGGGCGCCCGAAATCACACCCAGTGAATTCTCTATTAGCCGGATATTTTGCCTTGCTTCTCAACCGAAAAGGTGATTCATCTATTTTTCTCAGGCGTGATGTTTGATCAGGGGGCAGACTGACAGCTGGTAAAGCGTACTACGGGGTGTCCTAATTCGGCTTTTTTTATTTTTATCACGAAACAGCCGCATAAGTTTGGGGGTTTTGTTTAAGGGATGAGATAAGATGAAATAGTGTTTCTAATAATGACGCGGAAGGTCATTATTGGCTCGAATGCTACTGAAGGTGTTTATCGTTACGGGTATCTTTCTCCATGTGGCTTCTCCGTTGCATCTGAGCTGTGAGCAATTTGCCCTCATTGTGCTAAATTCTGATGTATGCGTATCGGGGCCATGTCATGTGTGTGACACGCGCAGTCAACTTGCTGCCGGGTATGTCAGCCACCTCCCTAAATATCAGCATCAACCAGCTGACCGGCTCGGACAGTCGACTGATACGAGGAATAGAATAAATCGAGAGAGGTCGACCGTCAGCGCAAAATTTTACACAATAGAAACTCAGATGCCTTTGAGACCACCAGGGTGAGCTAAAAGCCGTGGCTTAGAAGATTATCAACGCCAACCACGGAGTATAGCATGATGTGTGTTTGTTTTGAACGGCCGTTTGGCTGACTGAGATTCGGACCGTGATGTCTACATCCTAGTGACACTCTCTCATATCTATGCGATCGGCTTCGCTCCTTCGCTGGGTGGATACTCCTAATGTGCGACCTTTGAGGGTCGTAGGCGGGAGCTTTTGCACTGTCAACCACTGATTTCGAATCCCGCATCAAAAATGACTAATTCAGACAATGGACTGCTGCCTGGAAATGGGAGGAGAGGATGAGGATGCCGGTCTCAGCACACTTTCCCCATCATTAACAGGTGGAAGCTTAGGCTCGACAGTCGCGTGTGAATTCTCCTAATTACGTCTATTTGAATGCGTTCTAGCGCTATTCCTCCATTTTGACCTAACCAAATAAACACTTATTTCAATTCAATACGGAATTCATTGTGGCTTATCAAGTTTGTCTTTACAACGGGTCGCAAACGAAATGCGACAGACCCGCCTTAAGGGTCAGATTAGGGTTCGCTAGGCTTTGTTTTGGCTGCGCACTCAAGCAAAGTCTACAGTTTGTTGATGTGCCTGGACGTAGCCTTACGCTGCGTCAGACCCTTGAACTCGGGAAGTGGTCTGGTGCCTTGAAGAGAGAAGTAAGAGTCCGTTCGAGTCTTTTGACTCCGTCCCCACAACACTTAGCAAATATTGATCGACGGAAGCAGTCTGACGACTTTTTAGTCTATCGTGATGAGTCAAACACCGTAGCTTGGATGGCAGCCAACCAACCGAATAACTCCGTCATGCTCCTAGAGCAGAACGCCAGAATGTAGTGGTCTCTTATGGCACACCCGTTCATTGCGCACCCCAGCCGACCGTCTGTGTATTTTGTGTAAAATCCCAGTCAGTTGCGTGCTGACCAGATGTGTGTTTGGCACGCGTAGACGCTCTACCAAATTTTTCCAGCCATTGCGCCCGGCCCGGTCCCCGGTCTTCTTGACTCCGTTAGTGAGGAGAGAGTGCCACTAATACTGTGGAAGTCCATCTTGCACTACAAACTTATTTACTCGTTTGTCACTGTCCCTGAACCCAACCTGTTGTAGCGCGCATGATAGATTCTATCGTTAGTTGAACTGTCGGCATATAAAATGAACAAATTTGGAGAAGCAAACAATACCTCCGAGCGGCTAATTTCACTAACACTTATTAGGGGATGGGAGCTAAACCCCAAACTAATCTGCTGGGCTCCATTTAGCTTCCAAGGAAACACGCCGCAACGGTTAACCACGCTCTCTCAAGATAAGACAATTCAGGAGGATAAAACTGGAAAGCATGTAGTTCCTCAACGGACCTTTGTGTAAGAGAAAGCAATCCCTTTTTAGGATATCCAATTCCGTTGACTGCTACATCTTGACGCCAACTCGGAAGCACCTGGGTGAGAATGAAGAGTGGCCGTATTTTAAGCGTAAACAAAAAGTAGGGTTTCAGAGAAATTGGCTCGCTTCCTGCACCCATCTGTTATTATTGAGGATCCATAGACTCCTTGTTGTTGTGGCCATACCCAGCGCTACTCTCCTTCGGTTGTAAGTACTACTCACATACGCATGAAGGAATTTTCAGCCCTTTGAAAGCGCATCTGACTCCCTTGTTACCAAACAATATTCGTGCAATGTTATAGGCGATAGCAACCATCTGTCTATAGAACTGTGACTGCCAGCGTCCGCTTGATCTCCGCCGATTTGTCATGCTGCCCTTCTGTTTGCCCCACGTTCTCTGTCGACTTGCTGCTGGGACGACGCGAGGCTTGCCACTAGCCTCACGAGTGCTTGAAGCCAATTAACGCTGATTTTTCTCTGATTGGCTGGTGGACACAGAGCAGAGGGAAAGGGGCACGCACGCGTTGGGAGCTAATAGCCTCAACGGCGGACACAGGACTCGCTTGAAAATATAGCTTGCGGCAACTGCTTGTCCAGCCTCCTGTATGCTCTTACACGCCAGCAGAGTCCAACCCAATCCGTGTTCCGTGACTTTTGATTTGAAAAAATTTGATTTGTCGACAATTATACATTGAGGGACCAATCTCATGAAATTTTGGCCAACATTCGGAAATGCGCTATTGATTACGAAAGGTGACTTAGGTGGGGCTGTAATACTGATTATCTTGCGGCCTAATCCTATAATATTTCGGAGTCGGCATGATGTTGGCTTTTGAATGCACTTCTTTACGTTCCCCTGTAGAAAATGCACTCGGCAAAATGACTACTTAAGTGGCATGCATTTCCACACTGACTTTCGATGGTCTAATAAATTCAAATATATTTAATAAAAAACATGAACAAACATATGCTTTTATTCCCTTATTTGATAGAAATCACGTCGACTTCATATTTTATACTCGAAAAAGGAGTATAACTAGGTTTT